GTCTAAATAAAGGTTGAATGAATGATATATTTATCCACAGAGTTGATGTGATCAGTGAAATGTAGGACTTCCTGAAATTTAATTTTAACCCAGGACAACCAGAACCCGGTCCCGAAAAATAACCGCCCAAACTCACACAGGGACTACAGACCTGTAGCCTTGACATCATTGCCATGAAGATGCTGGAGAGGCTGGTCCTGAACTACGTCAGATCAGTGGTGGAACCATACCTTGACCCCCTCCAGTTCGCATAGCAGCAACGGTGTTGACGCCATCATCTACCTGCTGCGCAGAGCCTACACACATCTGACAGGGCAGGCAGCACTGTAAGAGTCATGTTCTCTGACTTCTCCAGTGCTTTTAACACCATCAGACCTGCTCTACTCTACAGTAGCTCCTGGACATGCAGGTGAATGACTCGCAGGTCACCTGGGTCAGAGACTACCTCACAGGTCGACCACAGTATGTGAGACTGCAGAACACCACCTCAGACACCACACTGAGCAGCACAGGGGTTCCTCAGGGGACGGTCCTCTCACCGTTTCTGTTCACCCTCTACACCTCGGACTTCAGGTACAACTCACAATCCTGCTATCTACAGAAGTTCTGGATGACTCTGCCATTGTGGGCTGCATCACTGGTGACCAGGAAGCTGAATACAGAGGTGTGGTGGACAGAACCACCTGCAAGTCAACGTTGGAAAAACTAAAGGATTGCAGGTGGACTACAGGAAGTAGACCTTATAAGATAAGATCTTAAGATCTTATAAAGATGGCACTTTAGGGACATACGCCGGGTTGGGGAGTAATGTTACTTTGGAACCAACATATGCAAACTGGGTACACACGTGCGAACTGAAAGTGTGTGGCTATCACACGTTAGGCTGATCACAGAGCCAGAAGAAGTGTTGTTTTAGTAGGACAGCATGTTCATATCGATTTGCTCTAACGGTTCAAAAGGTGCATCTAAAACCAGTGACAGGTCCCACTGTGGCACTGGTGTTTTTCACAGTGGTCTTTTTCGCAGCGTTCCTTTTCATCTATTTTTCCTCTGGCTTCTTTAACCTGTCTGAGTCCTGGATTAATTAAATGCTGTTGCTCCAAATTTTTAACTCTTTAGTTTGTCTTTGACATGTTTCTAGCCTGTTTTTG